AAACCGCAAACGTTTTTTGGTTGTAATGAGGATGTTTTTAAAAATATATATTAAGCTTTTTTTTTTTTTTTTTTAAACCAAATTACAACAAAAACGTTTATGGTTTTTCTCTTTTTGATATATACACTTTTCTCTCGTTGGAACAACTGTAACCTCTTCCATTTATATATATATATATATATATATATATATATAATGTGGTGGAGTTCAATTTATATTACAATGAATCATTCATACATAAAGTAAATTAGTAAAGTTAATGATATAAAATGTCGAAATCCCTTCGCTAACAAAAATTTAAAGATTCATTAAACTACCAATCACACGATTTTGTTTTTTTTAAAGCTGTATTAGTTTTTTCTTAAATACGTAGGTACTTTCGACTGTACATTCAGTCATATTCAGGCATGGAAATTATTTTGTTTTTGGTAAAATTCAGGTAGCATATAATGCGAATCGAAATATGTTTTTATTAATGTGTTATTGATAACGGATACAAACTTGTAGAATGTGCAGTCGCAACGATAAGGTTGAATTTTTGAGAAAATTTACAGCGTTTTTTTTTTACTAATATAGCAATTTGAAAATTATATATATATATATATATATATATATATATATATATATGTATTTAGAATATATTCATTATATTTTTATCACACGAGATTATGATAAAACATTTTACATCGCTACACAAAAGCTTACATGTTTCAATACTATAATTGTACTTCCTCAGGCGATGGTTGGTAATTAATGATAAAAATGATGATTGTACTGACAACTTTTTAAAAGTGAATGCTACGAACTGGATTTTTTACTCCATTTTTTTTTCTTTTTATATATATATATATATATATATATATATATATATATATATATATATATATATATATATATATATATATATATAATTGTATGATATAATGTGTGTCTAGTTGGCTAGATTAGCATACTTACATCTTAGGTTCGAACCTATCTTGGTGCCTCACACATGTGAACTTTTGCCAGATTAAGCTGAGGTAAAGAAAATCAATAATAATGTAGACCCTTTGAAGGAGATCCCATTTCAAATTACCGTCTTTTCTTGCACACAAAAGTGTTTTTTCTTTTTAGTCTTTATAAGAATTATCATCTTTGTATGAATATTATCACCTTGCAGTATTATTATACAATCTTCATTCGTCCAGAAGTGCTACAAAAAAGAAAAAGAAAAAAAAGAAGCAATTGAATTAAAAATAAATAAAATAGAAAATAAAGTTCAGAAAACAAATAACATTTCTGTAACTATTCAAAGTAATTCCCCCTACTTTGCTTTTTCAAAATACGATGTTCATTTGAGAAAATGGTGAATCTGGATTTTATATTTTGCTGATACGTTAAGCAGACGGTAAGGAAACCATACTAGGCTCATATTTGACAATAATATGGTTTTAAATTCTGAAATTACTTTCCTCCAGACGAAATTGTAGTTATTAATAGTGTTCTACGTTTCTATTCCTTTCCAGATTACCCCTCACCCAACTACAAGCATACACATATTTAAGATTGTAAGCAAATCTTTCCTCTTTTTTTTTTTTAAATGACTTCTTGCAATCTGTCCCGACAAAGATCTAACATGAGCGTTGCACGTATTGCGTGAACATACATCGGGGAGTTTCTTCTTTAACATGTTAAATAAACAAGTTGGCTTGTTTAGAAATGATATTAACTCCTTAAGGCAAACTCGCTAGCATCAGGGGTGATAAGAACACGACGAAAATGGCAGGAGGGATGGCGTGAACACCTGGGAAAATCTCAAATGTAACTGTCTAAAATTATTCGCGTTTGAAAATGCACGTGCATATGTAACTCAGTCAAACTGAATGACAAAAGAGATAATGTTCAATCTCTTCTCTGCCTAATCGGTGGCATCAAATCCAGGAAAAAAAAATACATAATAAATGTTTCATTTCAAACTTTGTGGGGAAATCTGATTTTTAGTTTGTTTTTTAAAGTGTAATACAAAGCAATAAGTGAAAAATAATTTACCATATACTTCTGGACAGATAAAAACCAACGAATGAGTTTATTTTCGATATAGGTTTTATGTCAGTTTTATGGTGTTTTATATATGAATCATCTGAGCAACGCCTGCCAGAAAAAAAAAAGTCTTGGTAGCCTAACAACGCTTTCGCGGAAAGACGGCTTCTTAAGTGAAAAAGCACGTTTAAATCTCGTCAGAGACTTTATTTTTGATCTAGGCTGCTTACTTAACGATCGCATGAAAACGATTTGAGATTTGCATTGAAAAATTCAACAGAAAGACAAGTAAATAATAATAATGATAATGATAATGAAATTTTGCAAAAGGAAAATAATTTTTAAATCGATCAGAATAGTTATTCGTTTATTTATTTATTTTTTCAAGGAAGGTTAAATTTATAAGACACCAACAATTTATTATCCGATTATCTTTAGTAGATAAAAATTATAGTAAAGCTCATCTGGCTTCATAGAATCAGATAGTTCAGCTGTACCTTAGACCGTTAATAATATAGTTATTTCATATTTTATTCACTATCCACTATTGTGACCCTCTTACCAGACAAAACTAAGGTTAGTCAATCTTGAAGATATAATCTCAAAACATTATTTTACTATTCTGTTAACAAGGCTTTAAGGAGTCAGATTTTTACTCAAGAATCATGATCTCATTTCTGAAGTTATTCTGGAAATGGAAATCGAAGACCGTTATAAAATACTGCTCGACCATCTTATTACTGGCTATTATCTATTTCTATTCTATAACATAAACATAATGTAACTTTTTATATTTATCGGTAACGCAGCCTGGTCTATTCTACTGTAGGTGTCATGGCTCACCATTAAATTCGGATAGTGAATTCATTCTTTATTGAGTGCCACATATAAAATTTGACAGATAATCCAACAATGGTTGATGTGTCGTAAAATCAACCAAACAACAACTTTTTTAGTAATGAGATATTCCGTTGTTACGATATCAGGAGGTATTATTCAACATCAGTAAGCGAACATACATCGTGTTAAAATATCTTATTAGCAATTAGGGGAGATCAGTTTCCTTATACATGCTTTTTATGTCTTTTTTCGTCTTAGATTTCTTTAATAATTTTAAAAGTAGAATTTCCTTCTTGAGTGAATTGTATAGATAAAGATTCTAGATTACTCGTGCACAAAATATAGTCAATGCGACTGCTTACTTACTTATTCGTCATTATTTGATAGTACAGGTAAACTAGTGTGTAATAATTTACTACAATACTATTATAGTGAATAATGATTTAACACCTGATGTGACGAGTGTTTATCTTTAGTAATATTTAAGCTAAATAAATTTAATTCATATAAATATATGACATTTATAAATCTTAGTTTCGCATAAGGCGTCTATAAGGTACAAATTAATTTGGATTGGAAAATGAAGCCAGAAAGATTATGTAGCAAGTGGAGATGGTTTGCCTGCCCAGAAATATATAATTATTTCAGTTACATACCAAAACACATTAGTATTCTATTTATTCTTAAAGGACCTATAAGTATGTTTTAAATAGTACAAATTTTGATATAACTAATGAATATAGGATGGGGCATAGAATTTACAGTTCAGAAAATAATAAGAATATACGTTAGGCAGAATATCAGAATAGTAAAAAACAAGCAATGCAGAATATAAGAATATGGGCAACACAATCCAGAATACGTACATTCAGAAGTTTCAGAAAAATAAGATATGTATTAAATCGAGTCAAAAGTAATTCCTCTTTTGGGGAACCAATTGTAATGACGAATATATCGTCTTAACTACGGATCATACGTAGCAGTTAAGAATAAATTTTGGTGTACATTAACATATGACAATGTCTAACACAAAAGGCAGTGCGTTGGTAGGGAAAAATCTTCACCATCGACTTCAAAAGCTGAGCTCCCAAGTTGTTGGGCGTGTGGAGGGATCGTCGGGGTATTATTCATTTAGAGTTCTTAAAAAGGCAATGAAACTCTAAATGCACATTTATATATCCAGCAGCTACAACGTGTTCATAAAAATTCGAAAAACGCCCTGCGCGCGTCAATAGGAAAAATATTGTTTTCCTCCATGAAAACGCAAGGTTGCATGCAGCAAGAATAACAAAAGAAAAAATGTGGAACTCGGCTGGTCTGTTCTACCTCCATCCGACATTTTCACCTGGCCTTGCACGAAAGGATTATTACCATTTTCAATCATCGCAAAACGCTTTGATGGGGAAAACTTCCTCTTAATGAAAACCAGATTCAAAAGAAAAATTTCACATAAAAATCTGCCGAATTTTATTCAAAAGGCATCGAATTGCTGCATAATGAGTGGTAACAAGTCTTTGCAAATAATGATGATTATATAATTGAATCTTTGAAGAATAAAGATCATAAATGCAATCGGAAATTATTCATAACTCAACCTACAAGATGATATAATGCAACATATAACAATTTATGATATCGTAGATTCCGTTTAATTAGGACATTGATTACAAAGAATAGGAAATTGGAGATTGTACAAGAAAAAAAATTAACTGTAACATTGGTCCTTTTATGCAAATCTCTTGAGAAGAGACATTACTTTTAGGGGCTAATATTCGTGGTAACAATGTGTCCCGCTTAAACGGTTTTTATTGATTGATTCTACGGCTTATCAACCATTTGCAGGTTATTTAAAGTAAGAATTTCATGGATTATAAGATTTATTTTTGAGATAATAATGGTTTATTGATACAAGTCTTGTTAATTAATCCATACGCTTTGAAGACTAAAGATCATAAATGCAATCGGGGAGAGGAGAGGTGGATTTATAACTTTCCTAAGGGTATTTAGTTATTTAGTTATTTAGTTATTTAATAGGAGGCACGTAAGTGAATAAAACGAACCCAACTGGAACTAGATTTGAAAATCGGTTCTCCGATTAACAATTCCGAGCCATTATCCATTACACCACCGGCACATCCAAGCTTACAGTACCTGGTATTCCCAAGTGGTCACCTATCTAGGTTCTGACCAGGCTCGACGCTGCTTATGTTCGGTGATCGTACGGGAACAAGTGTTTCAATGTGACGTGGCTGTAAGCCCTGTTTAAAGGGGATAGTCTGTACAGTATATAGCTTTTAGCTTTCCATTTTTGAAACATGGTTAGAACTGTGTAGCGAAGAAAAACATATTTTAAATCAATTAATTTATAATATATATATATATATATATATCGGATAACAGTACATATTTTTGTATATCAAGAAGTGTATTGGGGAATTTTCATGACAAAGTGGAATAAGTTTACTTGTGATGCATTTCGTCCTTTAGGACTTCATCGGATCAAATTTGTTATGTTGGTAGGACTATACATGCGATGGGTGCTGTGAATTTTAGAATTTTTCTTTTTCGGCCAAATTCATTTAGAGTCTTTCTCTTTTATTCACATCACTGTGATAGTAGAAGATCTACCAGGAATGGTGTAATGTTGCCAGAGCCCGGACGCAAATTTACTGTAGATGGCCTTGCAATTAAGGTGAATTATTTTCTCCTTTGATCATGGTAGCATTTTTTATGTCAAAGTTGTGGTCAGTCTCGTTACGGCAACCAATGCCATTGATGTATTATTTTATAAAATGTCCCTTTTGTGTTCATATAATCTTTTATTTAGATTTCTTGAGGTTTCTCCTATGTATTTTTCTGACAAATATTAAGGCGATGGAGTAAACTCCTCCGTGAGGTTTTAGCTTTTTGTTTTGTTTTAGTATATTTGTCGACACAACATATATACTATACCATGAAAATAATAAACAAAAACTTCAAATTTTCGAGGCTCACTATGCCAAAAGCAACCAACCAAAGTTGGACAAAATTTATTACGAGTGTAGTAGCAATGTTTTAAAATGCATTTGGGTTGACTAACATTTAACACTATGTTGCATTTTACTATCTCTGGTTACCCCTTGTATTCTGAATGCTTGTTTACAAACATCGTAACCACAACGGTTAATTTTAAAATAATTATAACAAAGCGCGTTCACGCATGTTTACCAAAAATTACCATCGAAACGATTACAGTTACATTAAGTTTGTCTTCGCAATTCACTCCTGAGGATGATCTTGGAGAAGTTCGAAAGTACTTGTGTTAACAAAAAATACGACGCCTTCCTTGATGAATTTCAACTTAACATCAAGAAGATAATTAGAGAACTAGAAGGGATTATTATAAAAATAGACATAATATATACATATTATTTAATGAAACATGCTTGACTGAAGTAATGCTGCCTATATATATATATATATATATATATATATATATATATATATATAAAGAATATAAAATGTAGAAGATCAGAACTTATTAAATATACATTACAGAATACAAGAATATGTGTATTTTACAACTCGGAATGTTTAAATTTGATTCAGACTTCAAACTCGACATAACATGATACTCGTGGAAATACAAATAAAATTTCTGGAAAGTTGTTTTTTGGGAAATTTGCAAAGAAGCCGTCGGCATACATGCGGTGAATATTTTCCATTTAGGCAAACTTTGGTTATCCTTACAAGAATCAGGTGTAAACGTATTCTTTTCAAAACCTCAGATACCATTCACTTTTCAAGAACCAGATGTCAGTATTTTCGCAGTCGACATGACCACACGTGGATCTGACGTACTGATTCTTGGCAAGAATATCAGATGCCGTCCAAAATATCTGTGTAAAGATGCCGATGCTTTAGTCATCGCCTGAAGGGAAAATATAGTGAACAATTTATTCTCGCAAGCAGTTATGCACGCATATCTACTAATATCCCTATCAAGCCTGTCGCCAGGGTGTTTTGAGTGAAGGTGGAACGCCTTTAAGTCAGAAGTGTTTTATGCTAATGACTTTATCTGGATTCGAACACTCAGTTTGGAGTAACAGTTACTGGTTCCCAGATTGGACAACGTCCTAGATAAAAAAGAATTTTACAATAAAAGATTTTCTTGACGAATATGTACGATGGAAAGTGAAATAGTATCAAGCACTAGAAATGTTGAATGAATGATTTATATCGTGAGAATTTACGCGTTAAAATTAGCTTACATCAATTTCAAAGGTGGAGGGAATGATTTTCTGTTGGGGAGCAGATTACACTCGACGACGGGCCTGATCCTTGGCGGCGAACCTGGCCCTTCTTAATTACCACCGCAGCTATTAGAGCACGACAGATAGAATTGGTTCAGTGGGTAGGGCTTAAAGCTGAATTTAAGAGATTAGAGGTTAGAGATTAGAGATTAGAGGCAGCAGAAATGTGGTTCAACTGAAGGATATTAAAGATTCCACGGACGGAGCAGGTAAGCAACAAAGAATTCTCAAAGAAAATAATAACAGAAAGAACAATAATACTCAGAATCAAGAAAAGGCAGCATAAATTCATTGTATATTAGAGGTGTCCTCCCAAAATTGACATACTTTAAAATGTGACTATCTGAGTAACTACATGTCCCAAGGAAACGAAATAAAATAGGCTTCATATTGTACACTAAAATATTTATTTATCAAAATTCGAACAAGATATTCAAAGGGATGTAGATTTTATAACCGATTTCACAAACTTCACAAATGTTTAATATGCGCACCACCTGTGACACATCAAGTCGGTAGTCCAGCTCCTGCCAAACACGCTGTAGCATGTCTTGCGTAACATTCTCCAGCGCCGCAGCGATTTTCTGCTTAAGTTCCTCTAGGCTTGTAGGGAGTGGAGGATATAGATATGTCCTTTCACATAGCTCCATAGAAAAAAATCACAAGGTGTCAAGTCAGGTGAAAGTGATGGCCATTTCAACAGCCCATTGTCATTATCACTGGCACGCCCAATCCATCTTCCTGGTAGATTCTCATTTAGATAAGTCCGCACAGTGAACTTTGTTTTTACACGTTTTGTTAAAATTTGAGCGGAAATTGGCTATAGACTACAAAATGATGTCAATTTTTGGGGGACACCTTGTATAATGAGGAAGGAGGGCCTGGAAAACTTAACTCCCACGGGGAATATTGAGAGCAAGAGAGATAGAGGAAGGCAGCGAACAACTTACCTGACGACCATGTGTGAATGGATAGCAGAACAGGAGGCGGGAGCCTTAGCAAAGAGAGATAAACTATTAAGGGCCACAGGCAATAAGAAGTTGTGAAGATCGTCTGAATAGACGTAGCACATAGAGGAAGATGAGGGTCCATAATACAAGTTATCACATGTTAAAATTAGATATATTCTTTCTAAAAAGAGTAGAAAGAGCTTATACCACTTTGGTTTGCTAAACAGAATATCTACTATATAACAACTAATAGTTCATTTGCCCCTGCTGTAAACGATTTAGTTAAAGTAAAAGTAGAGTTCTCAGTGTTTGATTTCGTTTGCTATTTACTAAGTAACAGCGTTTTGGTATTTTTTTTTTGAGGTTAGTCAGCCAAAAAATGTTCCCCACCGGTTTGTGGCTTCCTCTTTCAACGACAATTTTTAAATAATTTTTCATTTATTGTGGAGCTAGGATAGGATATCATTATTTATCTCCCACCTCCAGTGGTAGTATGTAATACATGGTCGATTTTACGTGGGTTTACCACGTGGGTCAAGGGCAAAAACTACCCAGTCTTCGCAGCCAATGCAATCAAAATACTCATATCTTTAAACTTTGGTGTAATGGGGGAAGATGCCTGGCGTAGGATTCGAATTCCGGGGGCGAGTCTCGCCTCGTGTTATGCCGTGAACTTTCTGAAGAACAAAAACTCGACTGAAAATGAGGAACAGATACTACACACTGATAGTATTTACCTACCCTCAAAGTTGTTTCCATGTGGGGTGTCCGATGCATACATATTGGTGAAGGAATTTTTACTCTGTTCCAGCGATCAGTGTCACGTTAACATTGATATCTACCAACCTTCTTGCAATGAGGGAGATACTGTCGCAGGGTTGAATTCAACGGGACTTAGGCATCTGTTATAGCTTTAAAGGAAGGAAAACATATTACGCTTTGATCGCAGACCGAATGCCGGACAGCGCTTGTTATTTACACCCTTCACCACGGTGGTAGGATATGACACAAGATCAATATAATGCAGAGTGCCCATACGACTAGAAACAGATCAAACGCAAACACTGCCCAATTTTCTTTTGCCGGCTCACTTATTTTCGTCAAATCTATTTCTTTAACATACCCAGAAAAGGTTAACGTTTTAGGGATCCAGCTTCAGGTGACCGCCATTAAACTTATAACAAGTATGAGGGGTATTAAAATATAATCGGTTCTACTTTGGTTTGTTATCTACAAGGAAAAAATATCAACACCGTACAAATTTTAATTTGGAATGATATCTATGTTATAAATAATCAAAAGTGGTCTCCCATTGTTTTGTTACTCTCCTCTTTGAGAGAGCTATTTCTGTTTACTGGTACTATAAAAGGACATTATACGCGAACCTTGTATCCTCAGTTGAATAAAGCTTTTTTAAAGTCCACACCTGCGTACTTTTTGTCATTAAAATCTAATTAAAATCTAATTAAAATCTAATTAAAATCTAATTAAAATATTAAAACATTTCTATTAATAATATTCAATTGATAAACAGCACGTATATCAGCTAAAAATAAATCGCATACCATAGTAGATCCATGACAGGTAGATAAGAAACCAAACTAGCACCAAATAATCTTCTCTAATAGAATAAATATATCTTAAAAATCTTAGTCTAGTATGACACCAAGTGTGGGGATACGCCATCAAGTAACATAAGTTGGCGAGACTAGATTACTAAACTAAACACCATTCCATGCTGAAGTGTCATATGTTGATAATTTAATAATAATTCAACTAAATATTATATCCATTATCATATAAATCAATGTATAAGAAATAGAAAAAATAATAAACGAATAAAAAATTAAAAATAAATGTAAATTTATTTAAGACTTATTCATAATAAAAAAAGGAATAATTAAGAATAGATAAATATATAAAAATAATTAAAGAAATATTAGTTACCAAAATTGTTCTGCTTAATTCTTTTAGAATTTTGAAATTCTGTTTCCCTTAA